GGCATGAGGGGTCAAGATGCAGAGGTGGGGGGCAAGAGCCAAAGGTTGGGGGGGGGGGGGGGGGGGGAATGCTGGGTGGAATTGCGAGAGTGCCAGAGCAGGGACACTGGAAGCTCGCTCAGCAACGAGAGCAGAAGGAACAGGCGCAGGGCGAAGACGGGCTGAGCAGAAGGAAGAGCAGCAGATCTCAGGGCAGGGAACACGTCGACCCTTCTCCGTCATAAAGTGTCATCGAGAGTATCAACGGCTTTAATATCCAGAACCAGGGAGTCACAGTGTACAGAAACGGAATAGACCCGTTTAGGACTGGGATGAGGAGAAATGTCTTCACCCAGAGAGTGGGGAGCCTGTTGGATTCTGTGCTGCAGAAAGCTGTGAAGGCCAATATTTTGAATATTTTCAAGGAGGAGTTAGACATAGTTCTTAAGGCTAAAGGGCTCAAAGGGTACAGGGAGAAAGCAGGTACTGGGGATTGAGTTGGATGGTTAGCCATGATTACGTATTGAATGGGGGAGCAGGTTTGAATGACCTTCTCCTGCTCCTATTTGCATTGTTTCTGTAATGGATGGGAGGATCTGATTGAGACGCGCAAAAGGCACGACTGACATATGAAGAGAGACTGGATCGGTTAGGACTGTGTTCACTGGAGTTCAGAAAAATGACAGGGGATCTCGCAGATATCCGTAAAATTCCAACAGGATTAGAAAGGATAAACACAGGAAGATGTTCCTGATGGTGGGAGGGGGAAGGGGTCACAGAATCACAAGCCGTTTAGGACTGAGATGGGGGGTGGAAATTGCCAGGCCTGTTAGTGGTTTGGGGATGAATTTGTGTCGGGGGTGGTTTTCCATGACCCTGCTGCCTTTGTCCTTCGAGATTGGGAGAGTGCTTTCTCAAGGAGGCACGGTGAATTTCTGCAGAGCATCTTATAGATGGTACACACTGCTGCGACTGAGCGTCAGTGGGGGGAGGGGAGGGAGTGGGATTGTTTGCGGATGTGGTGCCAATCGAGTGGGGGCTGCTTTGTCCTGGATGGTGTCGAGCTTCATGAGTGTTTTTGGGGCTGCCCCCATCCAGGGGCAAGTGGAGAGTATTCCATCACACTCCTGACTTGTGCCTCGTAGATGGTAGATAGGCTGTAGGAGAGTCAGGAGGTGAGTTACTCGTCGCTGTATTCCTAACACTTGCATCATTTATTTTCATTGCATATCCTTGGTTGGTGTCTGGGAAGTTGTCATGGTGTGCATCTGGGGAGGGGAAAGGTGGCTTGGTTTTTTGAAGGAAAGCAAGAGGAGAGGCAGGAGAGTGGGGTTTTTTGTGTGTGTGTGTGTGTGTGTGTAAGGGGCTGTGTGGGGTATGGGTGAAATGGAGGTGGTATGTGTGGCCTTGGTGGAAGAGGCAGCGGATGTGGTGTGTATGGGAAAAGGGGGAATGTGAGAGTGTGGGGATGGTTTAGCAGGAGGGGGAAGGGGCAGTGTGTAAGTGTCTGGGAGGTTTCAGAGTCGGCACTGGTGGTAGTGTGAACCTTGCCTCCCATACTGACACTCGGTCTCATTCCAGTTCTGAGAGGACCAAGAGAAAGCTTCAGCCTCGGTTACGAGGGAGACCGTCGAAAGAGCCCCCAAACAACGGCAAAGCCCCATTGCCTGTGGACAAACCGAGAAAGGGCAGGTAATCCCCCACTGACATGGTGAACTCTCTCTGTCTCTCTCTACCCTGGCTACTTTCTGATCAGCCCCACATCTCTCTGTCTCTCTCTCCCCTCCGCCCGCTCCCCCATCAAGTTTCTCATCACCCCCTCTCTATTTCACTCCCCTATATATTCTTTTCTTTCTCTCACCCTATCCCTGTCTCTCTCTCTCATCCTTTGTGTCTCTCTCCTCTTGCATCTGTGTCTGTGTCTGTCTTTGTCATCTCCCTCTCACATCCTCACCATGTGTCTCTCTGTTGCACCTTTCACCTCTCTCCCTCGCCTGCTCGCACTCGCTGTTACTCTCACCCTGATGCTGCCAGGCTCTCTGCTCTGTGACCAGTCAGTTGTACAATCCTCTCTCCCTCCGCAACCTTCACCAGCCTCACTTTCTCTTCTGCAGGCGAATTCGTAATGATCAGAGTGAGGAACCACAGATCCCCATGAGGAAGATCAGGTCAGTGTCACTGTTGATTTCATTCTGCTGTCCACACCCCACCTCTTTGCTGTCTCGACCCCC